ATATATATATATATATATATATATATATATATATATATATATATATATATATATAAATAAATAAAGGTTTATCAAAGCTCTCATTGAAATTGCATTGCATTGCATCGTAAAATCTCAAATTTGGTAATAAATGTCACATTTTGCACAGATTCAGTCACCTTCTATATCTACTGTAATTTCAAATTAACCTTAAACCTGTAAGCATTACTTCTGTGATATTATTAGGCAATGAACAGTTGTATAAACATCAATTAACATTTATGAAATCAGTTATGCAAATCACTTTTCACATTATCTTCTGGAAGTAAATCTATTTTCATCACGGTGTTTGTCTGTTGTGATTCCATTTGTATCGTAACACACATTCATTCCGGAAATAACGAGGAAACCACTGTGCGTTTACCACTGTTAATTATTATATTCAGACCAAAACAATATCCCATCATGACACAATGTTAGCTTCACGTTACTGGGACATGTTCTATGACAGCAGCAGACCTGGAAGCCGGAGCTGCCGGGCCGGGCTCTGGGCGGAGCCATGCAGCCAGCCTCACGCGACCCAAAGGCCCTGACGTCAGTGCTACAATATAACACCACCCGCGCCATACGGGCGCTCATGTGAGTGTTTAAGCCGGGCGGTGAGGCGAGAGGGAAGTCAGAACTGAGAAGTGCATAGCGCTTTGGAAATCTGTTCACAAGTTAAGTAAACTTCATAAACACGCGATCGGGAAAATGGACGTGAGCGCAGAGGCCAAGCGGATCATGGTCCAGGCTTTGGGCAAACTGTACAGCTCGCGCACCCAGCGGGGCGGACTGAGGCTCCACCGGAATCTGCTGCTCACCTTGGTCATGAAATCGGCCAGAGACATTTACCACAGCGCCCGAACTGCGTGCGAGAACGAAGCGCAGAGCGGCAGCCCCCTCCCTGACCCGCAGCCCCAGCGGACGGAGGAAGCGATGGACACCAGCGACGCCGACGGGGAGAGCTGTGTCTCAGCTCGGACCTCCGAAGGCAAGTGTAAGGTGACATCTGCGAACTGTAAAAAGAGCCAGGAGGACAAAGAGAACAGTGATCCCGTACGATCTGACCGCCACTCCAGAAAGCGGCCGAGCAAAGCGGCAGCCGAGCCCGACTTTCTCCCTACAAAGAAAGCGAGGATGGAAACGGGCGAGGAGAGACACGGCGCTCGGCCCGGGGCACTGAGGACGACCACGGGGAACTGCTATCGGGCTGACGAGACGCTGACTTCTCTGCCAATGTCCCGGGCAATTACCGCCTTCTGAAGGGGAGGCGAGAGGACTTTGCCGTCGTTCAGATGACGGGTACCGACATCCGGCCTCAGCTTGGAGGGGTCAGGATCCGTCCCGGTTTGCGGCGTTTCTCTCCCTCCGCGCACCAACCAGAGACTCGTGCGACTCGGAGGCGCCGGCGAGGCCTGGAATCGCCCTGATAGACAAGTCAGGCTGGGAGTCGGCTGTGAAAAGCTGGGATCCGTGCGCCATGGTGCCGTGAGACACGGGTGACTCATACCGAAAGACTGGGTGACATCCGCTTGTGAGATCCCCACCTGCATGGGGGTGGGTGGCGCAGCGGGGTCACTAGATCAGGGGGCAGACGTGCGTCTCCCGGACCCGGACAGCAGGCGGAGACATGAATGGACTCGTATAGCTACAGACATTAAGTGGTGCTAGATAATTACCTGCCCAGAGCAGCATGTTTACCTGTGTCAGTGTGTAGGAAGCTGGTGTCCACACCTTGTGTGAAACGAAAGATTGTACATATTTGTTTACAGTTCCGTTACTCTTGAAAGCTGCTTTTATGTTTATACTCGAATACCTCATGTGGATAATAAACATTTTATAAAGTAGCTGAAGATCTTGTGTTTTTCTTTATCGGTATTGTTGTCGTAACATGAGTCCATGAGTGTCCATAACTTGGGACTGTATATTATGTGGCGCCTTTTTACAGTTTACAGACTTGTAGAAATATTACCTACTTGTCGATTTGATCTAAGACGATTTTACGACTGCATCACACGACACGTCAACATACGTAGAGTACTTGATAAGTGAGCCTTTAAGGGGTTCCGGTACAGCGAGTCCCCCTATGGATGCAGGGGCTTTCTGGTGGGACTGGGTGAGCTGGAAGCGGTTTTCAATGACACATTCACACCTGCTGTGTCATCACTGCTCATACCCATACGACGCCCTCAGAGGCGCATGATGCACGGTATCTCTCACGCATCACAACCACAACAATGGGCGTTTATTAACAGTAATATTTACATAAACGATGCCATGTGTTTTAAGTCAATAAAAGCAGACAGTCATATCCTAAACAGCAGGAGGCGCACGCCGTGCATCTCAAAGCTATGCGAAAGGTTTCACATGAGAAAGTTGCGCACAGATTTGAATGACTAGCTTTCGTTGTTCATCCACAGATATTCGGGGGAGGTTCTTTGCCAGCCCTTAATGTCAGGTCTGTGATGTAGTAGGAATAGGGTTTCCTTTCCTAATATTTAATGTTAGGCCAGTATCATTAGGGTCATGTTACAACGATGGCGATTATCAGGGTTTCCCAATTATCTATTATCGGGGTTTCCCAGTGACAAACAATGACAAATGTTGTCCCATGGACTACATCAGAGACCTTTAACCGCGGTTCCGCAGAAATCTGTCGTAATTTTATTATCCTCTTTTCCAAGGAGAGAGATATTGAAGTCCCCTCCCCCCATCAGCCTTAGCTGTGGTGTATTTTCAAGGGGGGGGGTCCTCAGCTTAAAAAAAAAAAGCCTGAAAAACTCTGAGCTACGTCATGTAAAGCCATGGGGGTTTTCTTGTTAGTGTGAATCTATTTTATTGTCCCGGGATTTGGTAAATTGATGTGTCCGTTTGGGCGTGTGAATGGCGCGTTAATGTACCCGCCGTAAACACTGTGCCCGGGTGGGGGAGGCAGGAAGCAGGAAGCAAAGCAGGCGGACAGATATTTATAGGACAAGGGGGCGCTTTGCGCTTCCGCACATCTGGCTGACTGGAGGAGCGATATTCAGCCAGATCGGGGAGGGGGGGGGAAGGGGAATGTGAACCCTATTCATCATTCAGAAAGAGCTCCTGACGACGCTAAACAGGCCATTTGCTCGAAATCCTACGTCTTCATACAGCTGGTCGAGGACAAAAAATATAGCACAGGTATAAAAAATACATCAGCATTTATTTAGCAGGTGCTTTTATACAAAACTCAGATTGTAAAAAGGAAGGAAAACGTGGTTTAAAAGGAAGTACAGACGAAGTGAGGGTAGGTGTGTTTAGAAGGGAGGTGGTGATAACCAATGTGTCATAGAAACATAAGCTGTAGGTGCCAAAGTTTACCACAAGGTAACGTGGCACAAACTCACACGAATGGAATTGCGGTATTTAGCCTATGAGAATTCACCGTACTAATTGCTGTCCAGTTCTAAGGGTATGAATGATTATGTATAGTCTATAATACACAGACATACGGTATGCGTAAATGTGTGTGTGTGTGTGTGTGTGTGTGTGTGATTTTAATACTAATTGGTGTAATTTAAATACTAATTGGTGTAATTTTAATACTAATAGGTGTGTTTCTTCGTTTTCCAGCCTGTCCTTCATTTTTTTTTAAAACCACAGAGTTAAAGGCACCATATGCTGAAAGGTGTAATAAGCGATTCCTGCACATACCTTTGAAGTTGTGACAGTAGACGGGTGGGGGCTGCGTGTGTGTGTTGGGGGGGGGGGAACTGTGTGGGCCGATCCTACGTCATGAGAACACGCAGCAGCTGACCAAGCAGGGAGCGGGAGAAGTAAAGAGGAGTCACAGGCTGGCATGGTGCATTCTCTCTGGGTTTATTCAGGTTCATTAGGAAGAATTCTGTCTGGAGTTACAAAATGCACTGGTAGAAACAGCAGTGAGATAGAGAGAGAGACAGGGAGATACCATAGCCAGACTAAATGGGTACATCATCAAATTCAGGCACCTCCTCTACTGCGCCTCATGACTGAGGAGGGAGATTTATTTTACTTCTCTTTTTTTTTCCTCTCGAGTATTTTGCTCGCACGAGATCTTTTTTCTTTGTTGCGTCCTGAACGTGGTGTATAGGGGTTTGTCTGTCCTCCAGGTCTGCAGGGGCAGCTGACAATGGAAACCAACTACCTGTGATTCTCACCAAAGTCACTTTGCTCTTTTGATTTTTTTTTGTCTTTTTTAGCATTTTTTGTTTTTAAAAATAGAAGGAAAAAAGAACATGTTGCTTTAAAAACATCTATATATTTATTTATATATTTATATATATTCTTCTTTTAGTAGTATTATTTTTTATTCCTGAAGATGACTGTTAATCCACGCTGTAGCATGCACATCGCACATGCAGTTCTGGAAGTAAATATTTTACTTTTTTTGGTTTTTTTGTAATTAGTCTTTTTTGTTTCTCTTTTTTTTCCATAGCGGCTCCTACGTAGTTTTTGACTTATTTGTGTCATTATTTATCGTATGTTGTTCGATGTGAGGCTGAGGTCGTGATTCGGGACACAGTGGCACGCGGGGAGATGGGCGGATGATTGGCGTCTTTGTCTCGTGGCGATGGCATGATGGGACAATGGCTTTCGTACGCAGACACAAACACGCACGTTTCGGCACGGGCACGCAGAGCTCTCGCTCTTAGCCACGCACTCCGAGACACTCAGTAAAGTGCCGATACGCCAACAGAATTGCTACACAGCACCGTGAACCCCACAGTGTAATGTCACTCATTATTAGACACATCCGCCTACACACACTCACACGCGCACGCGCATGCACACAACGAATTTAAAAGTAGGCCTACCATTCCTGCCCACGCCCTCCAATAAAAAAAAAACGATTACCTGATTCTGTGCTATTTCAATTGCTAATTGCTAAAAGTGTCTGGAGGCCATTGAATGCCTTAGCCAGGTCCTGAGTACTGATCAATACTCAGCTTACTGACACAGCATTGCCCATGCTCTGCAGAATATGACCCTATGAGTCATTCCCGTTGCATAAGGGGTTCATAAGATTTGGTCTGTGTAGGAAGTTCAAGGTATCATTTTACTAAACATACACATACACACAGGTTTGTAATTATATCTTTGTGGGGACTCTCCATTCATTTCTATAGGGAAAACTCTATTCCCAACATGACGACCTTAACCCCTAACCAGCCCTAACCTTAGCCATGAGTAACCAAACAATTGATTGCATTCACAGATCTTTGTGGGGACCTGAAAAACGGTCCCCACAACGTCATAATAACAAGTGTTTATCACATTGTGGGTGACGTTTGGTCTCACAATGTAATATAAACTTAATCCACACACACATACACACACACACACACACACACACACACACACACATACACACACACACGCGCGCGCGCGTGCACTACATTTCTGAGCTCTCCGACTAACAGATAAACCGATGCTGCACTCTTGTGGTAGCATATGGTAATGCATCTTGTTAGAGTAGCCGCTACTGGACGGGGCCTGATTCAGATGATGTCTCAATAGACAATCGATGGTATACAGGCGGCAGGACGACAGGTCGATCCTGTCATAATGGGACAGAGAGAGGGAACGAGAAGAACGGAAAAGTAGAGACGAGAATGGACACGCATATGATTTCTGGAGGTTTATGGGTGATATACACAGCATACAGAGCGGCACAGAGAGAGAGATGACAGAACACATAGAACTCTGCCCCCCCCCCCACCTCCCAGGTCCCTTTCTGAATAAAGACATCTCGTCTGTGACAAACTTGCCACAGGGAGTGATGGAGAAGGAAAAAGAGGTAGAAAGGAGGGAGGGGACTGTAGCTTTTGTTATGGTAAGATGTGAAAAGGTATGAATGAAAAAAGGCTTGTCTGAGGGGAGGCTCATTCCTTCCACGGTGTAAGGCACTGGTAACAATGTACCACACGCACACGGACACATGCAGGCACACGCACGGCGGCTGCTCTCCTCTGGGAACACACGCATGCAGTACACAGGCACGGACAGCAGGGGGGGCGCGTACTGAGAGTTTGCGTATCGCGAAGTCTATGTCTGCGACGGGAGTCCTGCAGAATGGTATGGCGTGGCGGATCTTCGGTTAAGAGTTAATTTTACTTTATGGTGTGTGGCCCGTGTGGGGTGATATGTAAAAGATACCTGTGCTATATCCATACTGTCCTATACTGTCTATATCTATAGAGCCATATCTATAGTAATAATCGCTGTAATGCAAACCAGTCAACCCTGACAGCAGAAATAGTGAGAATAGTAGTAGCATTTGTAATATAATAATAGTTAATAATAATTAATAATAGTGTTAGTGTTTCGTGTGTTAGTCGGTGGTATGCTAAGACAGATGCTAGATGGGTAAATGGTGTGAATGTTGTCCTATTAGGCTCTCGGGGTGCGTCTGCAGAACGACACCCCAGCCCTCGTTTCTTTTATGTGGCTTTTTCATCCTGAACGGAGGGTCCCTAAGAAAACAAGGTCCTAATAGTGCTAAACCTGGTGTACGGATTACAGGCAGTAAAACGCTTGGGGGAGTTAAAGGTGGGGCTGTATGAGGGTGACAGCAGGGCGCGGTGCTCTGTTCCTCATGCGTGCACCACAAAGCCACAACAGTGCCCCCTGCAGGGCCAGGATATAATGACGGATGAAGGGAACAGCCACTCCATAGCCGGTGGTTACCCGGACTCTTCATCTGTGGGCACCTACAGAATGAACTCGGGCTTTGATTGAGCTACATGGGCACCTGCATGGAGGAGCAACTGCTGTGTCTTTGAAAAGGCTGCACTGTTCATCTTAACAGGAAGCTACACCAATGCAGCTGTACATATGAACCATAAGGTCGCTTTCTAATCCCAGTTCCGAACCCCAGGTGATGAGAATGCTGGGTTTTCTGTACCCCTAAGAATTAAAGTACTCCTCTGTTTCCTTCCTAGAGGTCCATGTTTTAGGCTGGGTTCCATATTCCTGGGTGTGAAAATTCCAGTGGAAATCCCTGGATACTCTGCTACTTATCCATCACAGACCGACATTCTGCCCGACAGTTATTAATTTTAAGCTTGGAATTCACCCTCCCTCCCCATCTAGCCCCCCTTATTTCCAAGCAGTCACAGCCCTTTTTTGTTATCACTCTCATGACCTGGAGGTAGGAACTGGTTTACACAACTACAGGTCCCACAATGCACCTGTCTTACTGAGCCCCACCCACTGCCGGCTGCCAGGGGAACAAACAGTGTTGTCAGAGACATGAGAACATGATGAACACTTCTGACTCAGAAACATAACACTGTTGTACAGTTTCTCTCTCTCATATCATAGACATTATTATAATTCACATCATTAGCATTTACTTATAGAACTTTTATCACTATTGTTAACAAATCAAGTCTTAAAATGGAAAAGTGTTCTCTTTTCTCTCGCGTTCACTCCCTCTCTGTTCCAGAAAATGTATGGAAGACTGGAATCACAGACGTGGTCTGGGGGCAGTGGCATTCACACATGTCCACACTAAGGGTACCGGGCGTGCTTTCTGTCTGCCTCGGGTCTGATTAACAAAGAGCTGCGTTAGCTGAAGGGGCAGGGCTCACGGAGACATTTCTCAGTACTCTCAAAAACTGCATGCCTGTGTGTAACCATACTTCAGAAAACTCCAAGAATAATACCTTTGAAAAGCCCAATCAGATAGGAATTATATTTTTGCCCATGTCATGACTGTTAGTGTTTAGAGAACACTGTGGACTTTTATCCTTTAATTTCATGGTTTGTGGGCAATTTGGTGCAGAAAATAAAAAGTTTTTCGAAAAACCGCACACAGGTATGATTCAGTTACACAGATATAGACCTCGAAGCCTTTCTGGGCCTCTTCACCACTCATGCCATCCCACGGTACCCAAAAGACATAGTGAGAGATGACTAAATGATGGGAAAGAGGAAGGGCTGGACAGAGAGAGAGAGAGAGGGAGAGAGAGAGAACTTCTGCAGACTTAGAAAAGGACCCCAGAATCACCCCCCTCCCCCAGACAGTAAAGTTTTTTTTTTTTGTGTCAGTCATGCAGGATTCCACGGGATTTTACTCTAAGAGTCCAAACAAAGCTGAACGGGTGCAACAGAATGATCAAGCTCCAATGTTCTGAAGGAGAAGAATAGGGAGGAGGTGGAGGATTAGACCAAGAAGAAGAATTACTGGAGAGAGTGCTTTCCTCTCGTCATTTTCCCCCTTGCGTGTCTTCTTCCCTGGGACGGGACAGCCGCACAGGAGCAGCAGGTAAGGGGCAGAGTCCGGCCCCCCCCCACTGGCTGTTCCCCCACCCCCCCCAACCCTCCCCCCACCCTGCCCACACTTACAGGCGGGAGGGACACTGTCAGTGTAATAATTATTAACAGTAAACACAGATGATAAAACTCATCAATATTACCCAACACCAGGGTTGGTTTTTGCAATAGAAGGAGCTCTGTTCAGTCCTGAAAAAGGAAAACATAGTCATTCTCCCCATTTAGAGTTCTGCTGTGGTTTTGGCTGCGGCTAGAGTTGTTGACATCTGCTGTTGGCTTGGGGGGTGCAGCCCAGCTCGGTGAGGAGAGGCTGCCCTCTGTGTTCGGAGACTCGGCTTCCTCTGACTGGTGACGGCCCAGCTTCAGCACTGCGCTTCCACACGCTTCCTTGCTTCGTTCGCTCATGGCCCGCTACCTCTCCTTTGCTTTTCACTGGAAGTCCTCTTTTCGACCTCTGACCTCCGACCTCCGGGCCAGCCCCCCCCCCCCCATCTCACCGAGGAGACACTGAGCAGCAGAGGAAAGTAAGGAAAAGTAACGGTAAAGGAAACATGCCACCGTTTCCGCCGTCTTCATGTCGGCGCGTCTCCTTGGTGGCACTGAGCACCGAGCAGACCCACAACCCCCTCGTTTCACCCGTTTCTCTGCGAAAGAAAAAGACCGACATTGTCCCCCCCCCCTAAAAAAAAGCCCCCCTCCCCATTCCCCAGAGGCTAGCACCAGTCGTCCTCGTCGGTCTCGCTGTAGGGTTCGTGCAGGCCCTTACGGGGACCCCGACCGTGGGGCGGCTTATGGGGCCCGGGGTGGCCCCCGTGCCGGTGGGGGGAGGGTGAGGATGAGCGGTAGCCGTTGGGCAGGCGGCGGGGTGGTGGCTGGACTTGGGGGGGGGGCGCGTGGCGGGAAGTCCTGGGTGACCGCGGATGAGGGTTGCCCTGTGTCGGGCCCGGCTCATAGGCGGGGGGCTCGCGACGATCGTACTCGTAGTCCTGCTCATAGAAGCGCTCATCGCCCTCTGCAGCACTGTCCATTGGTGGGGGGGGTGGCGCCCAGCGGCCATGGCGGGCTGAGCGGGGGGAGCCGTGGTGAGAGGGCGGGGCATAGTGAGACTCGGGGCCGGACGGGGAAAAGCGGCGGGGGCTTGGGGCGGGGAGCCGGCCCTGTGGGCCGGGAGGTGTGGCCACAGCCTTACGGACCACGGGGGAGTAGGTGACATGGGGCCGGGGCGTGGCGGGGGTCTGCGGCAGCTGTCTGCGGCCGCGGCGGGGCGTGCTGGTGCCGGAGGTCGAGGGGACGGGACTCCCACTCACCGAACTACTGCCCTACATGAAAATTAAAACAAGGCAAATAAAAAGCACAACAAAATTAACGAGGGAATGGGGAGGAGGAATGACACACAGGAGACGACGAGACAAGTGTAAAAAAGGACGAGAAAGCCAGGTGGGGGGGGGGGCACAGGCCACAGGGACAGAGACACAACACGGAGAAAGAGAAGTGATCTGGGTAAGTGGGCGTGGTCAGAAGAGCAGCTTGAAGCTACAGTCAGTCTGCATTCTCACGCGGCTCTGCAGTGGCACCCTCAGCCCACAGCTGCCTGCGATGTTTCTACAGCACCCCCTGGTGGCCAGCAGTCAGCTTACAGCCTGGTTTCCCCAGAAGCCCTGTGTGGTTTTGCTTGGGCTAAGGCCTCCTTTTCAGCCTAAGTCATTCATTTACATCAGATTAGCTAAGGGGGTTGCTTTTGTGACAGTTTCTTGTCCACCTGCTGTGTGTGCCTGACCTTTTGTTTGGACATGGCTGATAGAGTCCTGAGTGTCTGCTGTGCTTGTGGATGCGCAGCTGTGCTGGTGTTGACATGCCGGCTGTCTGCGCTGACTCTACAGCCCAACCATGGGGCAGCGCAGGCAGCAGGGGGCGCTCTGTCACAGACCCACGCCGAGCAGAAATTAACAAAACATGAATTCAAATGAGGAGGCAAAACGAAAACCAACTAAAAATAAGAAAAGCCGCCTCTAAATTAATGCCACTTTGAGCCAGAGAAGCGACAGGGGCATCAGGGGCTGACAGGAAGGATCCCCTCCCCCAGTCAAAGTGGGCATTCTGCAGACATTCAATGGTTTAGGGACTAAAGGGAAATACACACATATTGAGAGGACGGTCAGGTCCTGACAATATGCTTTATAGGGAAGGCGGAGAAACAGTCAGGCAGCAACATCAATGTGTGCGGTGCGTGTGCACTGTGTGTGAGTGTCAGTGTGTCATTCTGTCCCTCTCTGTGTGTGTCAGTGTGCCATCCTGTCCCTCTGTGTGTGAGTGTCAGTGTGCCATCCTGTCCCTCTGTGTGTGA